CTGTTTCACGGAGTCTTGATCAGCCACCGCAGTATTCATTGTATACATTGTACCCCCCATAGTGTGGAGGAAGGTAAAAGTGAGGTTGAATACATGTATTCCGGAGACGATAGGGCAAATGGACCTGAGCATGGCCCGAAGGCCAGCCCACGCATACAGGGGCCAGACAAATCCTAAAGTGACCGCCAAACGTCAGGTAGCCACATAAACAAAGTATTACACTTGTAATACATTCTAGCTTGTTCATGTGGACTTTATAGATGAGAGGCGGGAACCAATTGGGAACGTGGGTCACGTGCGTGAAGTCGGCGAGGAGCCTTCCTCCGATTGATATCTCCTACTCACCTCATCTGTATCCTATTCCCCATCCTTCCTAACAGTGATGCCTAATAAATCGTCTACGACCAACTTCCTCTTAAAGTCTGAGAACCAGGGACCAGTGGGTGAACAGGCCGTAACTACAACACTAATAATGTGTTTTTCTACTACTCACGCTCAGCTTTCCCAAGCCTATCTTTTTCATTAATCCAATAGAAGCCTTAGAGAATATGTGAATATAAAGACACTGGCATAAGGCCCACAGACTGGGTCAATCATCTATCTTTAACTACATAACAATCGCTGCAACTTAATATCCTGGCCCTCTTAGCATGAGATGAATGAAACTTTGTTCCCTCTGTTTTGATTTTGTAATTTTCAGTATGCCCATCGAGTCACGTCTTTCAATTCTTACTCGCTTTGAGACCACTACGGATGCACTTGTGGCATGTGCAACAAAGGCGAAATCTCACTTTGCTCTTACGCATTGTGTTAGAATTGTTTGATGTACTTTCACGGGAGAATTACACTATAAACTCACAATACAACTCCACCTGTCTGCTACTTTGAATGAAATTCAGATAAATGTGAATGGACAGCTCCAAAGTCGAAAAAAGGGCGTAAAATGGATCAAATTGGTGCCCTACCTTGATGATCTCATAAATTTTGTCTCCCACTTCGTTGCTACGCTTCTATATCTGCTTTCACGGAAAGTTATTGACTCGAGATTCAACACAAGTTTTGCAATGAATGTAGCCTTTATGAGTGGCTGTGATTGTAACGGTCAGGTCCCTTTTCCCGCATGGGCTCGACTTCAAACCATGCGTTGGCTCCACCTCCAATCTCTCTCTCTCTCTCTCTCAAGCCCAAAAAAGGTCTTGGGACACTATTCTTTTGGCAGTAGCAAGCATACCTGAGTTTGCTACAAAGTCGATTGTGGTTTTCGCAGTTTGTGACAAACTTTCTTGGCACAAATGACATTGATGGGCTTTGAGTGAGAAGCGCTTATTATTCTCTGCAACAAAAGGGTCACAAGTAAGCTATTACTAGCTAAGGCGAAACCAATGTTAATCATCTAACAAAGTTTTATGCCTTCTTACCCTTTCCCCATTCGCGTGTGGACAGGGAAGTTGACACCACGCTAAACTCCCTCCCTGCTAGTTTTTTACCCTGTAAAAGTGGAAACAACTTATGTAAGTTCGAAGTACCGAATACGATTTCTCTTTGTAAGTCCAAAAAATGCTTCAGATTTAGTCGAAGCTACTGAGAGGACCAAGTGCGTTTCCCCCAATTCCATGAGAGCTGAAGGTTGACGAAGTTGGCTCGAAGGTATTGTTCGGCACAGAATACGAATAGATAACAGTCGTAAAAGGACTGCATTGCACTGCGATGCTTTTTTATGTGACCAACTGACGTAAGGTGTTCACTTTAGGTCTTGTCTGGCTCTTGTACACGAGGGCTGGCCTTCATACCTCGATTAGACACATTTGCTTTGTCCTCTTTTGAATACACCTATCCAGCTTCACTTACCGCCTTCTT